AGTGGAGGAGAAACAAAATTGGTGTTCCACCATCAGTCTCCAGTACCTGAGAAAGCAGGCAGAGCTGGTGGTGATGTCCCTGTGGGCAGCCACTCACTACAGTCTTACTTGGCCAGGGCCAAGTTCATGGACTACAGCGCTGGACTCCTGGCAAATGTCCTGCTCCATCCTGTCACCTTCAGCCAGGAATGCCTGAATCTTTTCACCAAACCCTTCCTTTCATTCTACTCTCATTGAATTTCTGGCCAGATCAGTGTGTCAGTTCCTCCAAGGTCTTTGTAAACAGACTGTTGATTATCACTTTCATTCTATCAGATGTGCCTTGGTCAGCATGTCTTGGCCTAGTCCCAAAGGGCTCTTTATTCGCCTCTTCCACTTACAGCCTTCTCTAAATCTGTCAGCCTGCTTAATTCAGCCTCTTCCTCTGGACCATTCTTCTCTCATCATGACCCAGCAACCATTGTGCGGTCCACATGTAGACGAGAGCTGCTCTGTATCCTGCAGGGAAATCTGAGATTCTGAAAGGCAGTGGAATCCTTGTGGCCCCTTCAACAAGCTGGTCTGGGTGTTTGCCAGTCCTGCTGCCGGGTGACCAGAAGGTCAGGCTGCTCACTGCTGCTCACTGACAGTCACGGAGAGCCTGGCTCCTTCCCTTGGGGGTTGCCCCAAATGCAGAGCAGGTGAGTCTGGGCAGGTGAGTCTAGCCAGTGGAGTTGGCAGCATTCTCTGGAGGTACCATGGCCTGGCCTACTGATGAGATGGCAGACCAAACTCTCTGTACCCCCAGCTCCAACCAGGGTCTCTAAAAAGTGACTCTAGCTGTTCTGATGCCAGGGCAGAGAACTTCTGCTTGGCAGATGTTGAGGCTGGAGGGTTTTGAGACCTTCCTTTCTTCTTGAAGGCATAGCAATATCAAAACAGCAACTCTGAGACGAACCTACTGATGGGGCCATCCGTGGGAAGAATCCAGGGGAAGGACAGTGAAGGTGATGAGGTTTGAGGCTTTAAATCCCAGTGAGGACAGAACTGACATGTTCTTAAAGTTTTACTGAGATATAATTACACGACCTAAGTTTAAAGTGTGCCAGTTCAGTGGTTTTAAGTATATATTTACAGTTCTGCAACGATCACCACAATCTAATTTTAGAACAATTTCATCATCCTTAAAGAAAACGCATGCCCATTAGCAGTCATTCTTTATCCTGCCCAAACCTCCCTCTCCCTGGCTGTTGGTAACCACTATCTACTTTTCAACTCCAATGTCCATTGCCTGTTTTGAAAATTTTTCACAAATGAGATCATGCATTTGTGACTGGGTTCTTTTATTTTATTTACTTATTTATTTATTTTGACGGAATCTCTGTCACACTGGGTAGAGTGTCATGGCATCATAGCTCACAGCAACCTCAAACTCTTACGTTTGAGGAATCTTGCTTCAGCCTCCTGAGTAGCTGGGACTTCATATGCCAGGCTAGTTTTTCTACTTTTAGTAGAGATGGGGTCTCACTCTTGCTCATGCTGATCTGGAACTTCTGAGGTCAATCAATCCGCCCGCCTTGGCCTCCCAGAGTGCTGGGATTACAGGCATGAGCCATTGGGCCTGGCTGACTAGGTACTTTTAGTTAACAACGTCTTGGAGATTTATCCATGTTGCAACATATATCAGTCCTTTATTCCTTTTTATAGCTAAATAATATTTCATAGTCTAGATATACTACATTTTGTTTTTCCATTCACCAGTTGATGGACATTTGGGTAGTTTCCACTTAGAGACAGAGTCTTACTCTCTCACATGGGCTAGAGTGCCACAGACTCAGCTTAGCTCACAGCAACCTAAGCTCCTGGGCTTCAGCAATGCCCCCTCTTGCTTAGCCTCCAAGATATCTGGGACAATAGGTGCCCGCCAACACACCTGGCTAATTTTTCAAATTTTAGTAGAGATGGGGTCTTGCTCTTGCTCAGGCTACTCTCAAGCTCCAGAGCTCAAGTGATCTTCCAGCCTCGGCCTCCCAGAGTACTAGGATTACAGGTTTGAGCCACCACAGCCAGCTTGCCATGAACATTTGTGTACAAGTTTTTGTAGGGTTGTATCTTTTCATTTCTCTTGGGTAGAGACCTAGGAATGAAATTGCTGGGTCATATGATAACTTTAGGTTTTAACATTCTGAAGAACTGCCAAACTGTTTTCCAAAGTACCTACACCATTTTACATTCCCACCACCAATACATGAGGGGTCCAGTTTCTCCATATCCTTTCCACTTGTTATTGTCTGTCCTTTTGATTACAGCTATCCCAGTGAATGTAAGGTATTATCTCATTCATTTGCATTTCTTTAATTTTTCATGTGCTTGTCATCCATTTGTATATCTTCTTTGAAAAAATAGCCATTCAAATTTATTGCCCATTTTATTTATTTATTTACTTATTAGAGGCAAGGTCTTGCTCCTGATCATAGCTCACTGCAGCCTCAAACTTCCAGACTCAAGTTATCCTCCTGCCTCAACCTTCTGAGTAGCTGGGACTACACGTGTAAACCACAGTGCCTGGCTTATTGCCCATTTTAAAATTGGATTATTTGTCTTTATATTTTGAGTTTTTTTTTAATATATTCTGGATACAAATCCTTTATCAGATGTGTAATTTGCAAATATTTTCCCCAAGTTTGTATGTTATCTTTTATTTATTTGTTTATTTATTTATTTATTTATAGGTATGGTCTTATTCTTTCTCTCAGGCTAGAGTGCAGTGGCATGATCATAGCTCACGGTAACCTCAAACTCCTGGGGTCATGCGTTTCTCCCCACTCAGCCTCATGAGTAGCCAGAGTGCAGGTGGGCACCACCAGGCCCAGCTAATCTTCTTATTTTTTAATTTTTCAGAGACAAGGTCTCACCCTTTTTCCCAGGCTAGGCTTGAACTGGCCTCCAACAATTCCCCTGCCTATGCCTCCCAAAGTGTTGGGATCATAGGTGTGAGCCACCATACTTGGCTCTTTTCAACTTTATTAATAGTTTTGTGGTATATTTGCTTTGAATAATTCTTATAAGTTTGCCATGCCACTACGGTTCATTACATGTGTTAACTTCATGAGTTTACTTACTGTTATTAATATTAAAATTCTTCCTGAAAAACCTCAGAGTAAGAGTGTCTGGGAATCTAGGGAATATAAGAAGAAATAGGAAACTTGCTATAAGTTTCCAAGAGGGTCTGGGGAAAAAAAAACCAGGGGAACTTGGGAGGTTGGTGGGTCCCCAACAAGAACCTTGACCTCCTAGTGGAATATTTTATGTTTATTTCTATGTGCATTTCTTTATGTTAGAAACTTTTTCACCTATTCCTCTGCTTATCCAAATGCTTCTTCCTATTTAGGTGCTACAATTTCTACAGAATTCTCACATCCTCCAGTCCATGCTAACGTTCTTTTTTTTTTTTTTTTTTGTAGTTTTTGGCAGGGGCTGGGTTTGAATCCGCCACCTCCAGCATATGCGGTCAGCGCCCTGCTCCTTTGAGCCACAGGCGCCGCCCTGCTGATGTTCTTTTTGAACACCTTTAGCTCTTATTCCCTGCATCATTTGTTTGGCTCTCAGGAAACTTTCTTGTTGCTATTGAAAGAATGAATGAATCCTCTGTTGCACTGCTTTTTTTTTTATATCTTCCTCCCATGAAGATTGTAAGTTTAGGAAAGATGGGAGAGGATGTCTAATCTTTCTTCTTCATATTCCTTACCACCTAGCACAGTGTAATACCCCAAATAGAAGTAATCCTAGCAGGAGAGGGAAGGAAGGAGGGGGTGGGGGTCTCAGTGTGTGATACACCTTTTGGGGGCAGGACACATTTATAAGAGGAGCTTTACCTAACAAGTGCAATCAATGTAACCTGGTTTCTTGTACCCTCAAGGAATCCCCAACAATAAAAAAATAAAAATGAAAGAATAAAGGAAACCTGGCCCCCAACCTTTTGAGACACACACACACACACAAAATAAATAATCCTAGGGGCAAGGATTATTTATTGTGAGTAGGGGCTGCTGCACAGAAGTCTGCATTTTTAGCAAGCCTTGGCACTTCCCTCCCTGGCCCACAGGATTTTGATGAACCGTTTGAGAGTAGGGATCTTGTCTATTTTCTTCATCATGTGTCTTTAGTACCTGGCATCTGGTAGACATTAAATAACATTTTTGAATTAAGTATGCCATTGACCACGAACCATATTTTGAAACCATCCCCTGGGAGAAAGCGTAAGAGATTAAATGAACACTTTGAACTGCTCTGTGTTGCACACGTATTTCCAGGTTACAAAGATGCATGTGAAGTGTTTTGAAAAGTTTAAACCAATCTCAAAGCATAAAGCTTAGTGTTTAGGTTTCTTTGATTGATAAAAAACATTTTTAAATTAGTTATTTAGTTTTACAAATCTTTGAGTTGGAAGGGCATCATGTTTCAACCCTATTCCCTTTAAACAAATACATTTATTGCATTAGATGTAGATGAATTAACTGGAGCATCGACAGATTTAAAGATTTGTTCAAGGTGGAGGTTTTCAAAAGTCCTGTCCACACACAGCAGAACTTCCAGAGAAGCTTGTTCAAGAGTATAGACACCAGAGATTCATCCAAGACTTGTTAAATTAGACTCTTTAAAGGAAATTTGCATGTTTAGAAGTGCCTTATGCATCACTGGCGTCCAGCACAGTGCTTCTCAAACTCCAATGTTTATTGAATCCCCTAGGGATCTTAGTAAGTTACGAAGTCTGATGCAGCATGTCTGGAGTGGGGTGCAAGATTGTCTACTTCCAGTAAGTTCTCAGGTGATGCTGATGCTCCTTGTACATGGACCACACTTTGAACAACAAAGATCCATGGCAGTGGTTCTCAAAGTGTGGTCCCAGAACCAGCAGCATCAGTAGCACCTGGGAACTTGTCAGAAATGCAACTTCTTGGGCCTCACTCCAGACTTACTGAATGTGAAACTCTGATGCGCATTTAAAATTTTAGAGTATGGACCTCCTGGGATCGCGTGTGGAGAGCCCCTAGTGTTCCGCCAGCTTCAGAAGCAGGAGGGAAAGCAAGCCTAGTGGAGGTATCCATTTCACTCCCAGCTTGCTCTGTAGCTGGTGATTGGAAGACATTCCACAACATGTTAAAAAAATTAATAAATAAAATTTTAGAGCATGGTGAAAAGATGCCCTATTAAATAAATGGTGCTGAGAAAACTGGATAGCCATATGTACAAAAATGAAACAGGACCCCTCTCTCACCATATACAAAAATTAATTCAAGATAGATTAAGGACTTAACTATAAGGCATAGTGTCATACAAATTCTAGAAGAAAATGTAGAAAAACCTTTTCTAGACATAGGCCTAGGTGAAGATTTTATGACTAAGACCCCAAAGGCAAAAACAATAAGCTGAGTTTAGTTGCTCACCCCTGTAATCCTAGCATTCTGGAGGGCAAAGGTGGGAGGATTGCTTGAGGTTGAGAGTTCAAGACCAGCCTGGGCAACATGGTAAGATCTCCTTCTCTACAACAAATTGAAGAAAAAAAATCATCCTGGCATGATGGTGCATGCCTATAGTCCCAGCTACTCAGTAGCCTGAGACAGGAGGATCCCTTGAGCCCTGGAATTTAAGGTTGCAGTGAGCTACACAACTGCTCCAGCTAGAGTGCAGAGCAAAACTCTGTCTCACAAAAGAAAAAGAAAAGAGAGAGATAGAGAATTAAAAAGTTTCTATACAACAAAGGAAATAAAACAGTAAACAAGCAAACTACAGAATAGGAGAAAATATTCACAAACTATACATCCAACAAAGGACTAATAGCCAAAATCTACAAAGAACTCAAATAAATCAGCAAGAAAACATCAAACTAACCCTCAAAAAGGGGGCAAAACGTAGGAACCAGAATTCTTTCAAAAGAAGATGAACAAATGGCCAAAAGTTATGAAAAAATGTTCGACATCACTAATTGTCAGGGAAATACAAATTAAAACCACAGTGAGGTATCTATCACCTTACCTCTGTCAGAACAGCGATTGTTAGAAAGTCAGAAAAAACAATGGACGTTGGTGCAGAGCCACAGACAAGGAACTGTCGGTGGGACTGTAAATTAGTACAACCTCTATAGAAACATGTATGGAGATTCCTCAAAGACATAAAGTAGACCTTCCATTCAATCAAGCAATGTCACTACTGAAGTCTACCAAAAGGAAAATAAGTCATGTTATCAAAAGGAAAAAAACAAGTAACATAAAAAGAAAAAAGAAAAGTAATTTTATCAAAGAGATACCTGCACTCAAATGTGTATTGCAGTATAATTCACAATTGCAAAGATATGGAATCAACCTAAGTGTCCATGAATTAATGAGTATATAAAGAAAATGTGGCATATGTGCATCATGGAGTACTATGAAGCCGTAGAAAAGGATAGAATAATATCTTCCGCAGCAACTTGGATGGAACTGGACACCATTATCGTAAGTGAAGTATCTCAGGAATGGAAACACAGATGGCAGATGTTTTCACTAATAAGTAGAAGCTGAATGATGGGTACACGTGGGCACAAAGAGACGTAAAGGACATTGGGAACCAAGAAAGGGGAAGAGTGTGGGGGGGCTGAGGGATAAAAACCTACCTGTGGGACATAATGAGCACTATCCTGGTGATAGGGACACTAAAAGCCTACACTTCAATGTTATACAGTGAATCCATGTAACAAAAACATTTACCTCCTTAATATTTTGAAATTAAGAAAAAATAAATGTTTTGCATGAAAAAAATGAGAGCATGATAAAACTTGAGAACTGCTGATTTAAAGAAATTTTATGGAAAAACCCTTGCTAGAGCCTGCCACATAGTCTGATTTAATTAGCCTTGGTTGAAGCCTGAGCATGGGTATTATTTTTAAGCTCCCTAGTTGATTCTGATACATATTCAGGATTGTGCACTGTAGTTTCAAAATTACTGGCTTCAGGTGACACTTGTATTCTTAGCAGAACCCGGCAGAACCCCTATTTTGCATGCTGGTGACCTCTCTTTTCCAATCTTCCTGTGGTTCCTAAACACCAGCTTTTCAGAATATTGACCTATGATGGGTTATTTCTATAGAATGTCCCAGCTCCTGCCCCCACACTCACATAAAGACAGAGAGTGGTAAGGCAGAGAAAGAAGGAACCATCTCACTTCAGGAGATTCTTAAGGTTCAGAGTCCAAGTCTTGGTTGGGTTACAGATCTGGACTTTTTGAAAGCTCCCTAGTTTTCAGACACCTTGCCCCACGTGACCCTGTCTACCCGACTCTTCCTTTCACACAGGCTCAGATTATTTCCCCCCCTGGGTCACCTTTTCAAATAGAAAGTGCAAAGTCTTGGGTTAGAGCTTGAGCAAATCAATAGATCAGATATCCTAACTTTTATGGTTATTAAATAGATTTAAAAATCAAGCCATGTCTTTTAGATGCTCCTTTGATCTAAAGGGAAAAGGCTGAGCTGAGAATAGAGAAATATTCCTTGTTGTATCAAAGATTAGAGGTCAGGTCACAATTTTCTAGCAATGTGCTTGTCAGAGTGTGGTTTTATCTCATCTTCCATTTCTGAAAATGCCACCATTTTACCAACCCTACCACCATCATGTGTCCCTCTCCAAGAAAAGTTTTAACATCTTTCCCAGAGAAAAGATTTATAATGAATTCCTATTAGAAAGTACTATGCAGGTGTTTAAGTAATGCTGTTTGGTTGTAATTGTATAGTTTAATGGGGATCAAACATCTAGTCCCTCTACGTAGAACTCTATAAACTAAGAAGAAAATGGGTTAGAGGTTGAAGTAAAGGAAAATGTGGAAGTTAATCTCTGTATAATTTTCTTTTTTAAAAATAAAGAGTCTTTTCCTATCACCCCAAGTAGATTGCAGTGGTGTCAGCATAGCTCACAGCAACCTCAAACTCTTGGACACTAGGGATCCTCCTGCCTCAGCCTCCCAAGTAGCTAGGATTACAGGCCCTACTCTTCACAATGACCTACTTAATTTTTTTGTTTTAAGTAGTAACAAGGTCTTTGCCCTTGTTCAGGCTGGTCTCAAACTCCTGAGTTCAAGTGAGTTTCCTGCCTCAGCCTCCCAGATAGCTAGGACTACAGGTGTGAGCCACCATAGCAGGCTGCTGTGATTTTCTTTTGCTGTCCTGTTTAATCCTTTGACCTTGAGAGTTGGTGGGACCCGTGAATAGAGTGGAATAGTCACTCTTTTAATTGCTTTGTTATGTAAAACTGTAAAACAGCAGACTGGAGAAAGACAGTGTCATGCTAACTTTGAAGACACAAACCACCAGACTATGAGAGGGTCATGTGGCTGCAACCCCAGGAAGTCTCTAGAGCTGAGGGTGGCCTCCAGTTGACAACCAGCGAGAAAAGGGGACCTCAGTCCTGTACTGCAAGGAACCGAATTCTGCCTACAACTTGAATGAGTTTAGAGGACCTTAAGGTCCAGATTAGAAGGAAGCCCAGCCAATACCTTGATTTCAGTTCTTCAAGATGAAGAAAAAAATGACAGCAAATGAAAACTCAGATCTGCATGAAGAAATAAAGGGCATCAAAATGGCAACTATGTGGGCAAATATAAAAGACTATCTTTTTTTAATTTCAGATTAATATGAGGATACAAACCATTAAGTTACAGTGTTTGCATTTATTAGGTAAGGTCCCTGTTGTAGTTGTGCCCCTCACCCAGAGATGTGCCATATGCCCTTACATTGTGCCCATCAGCTAGGAGCACACCAATCCCCCTCCCTTATTTCCTTTTCTCCCTCCCCCCACCTTGAATTAAACTGAGTTTTTCTCTTGTGTGGGTGTGTATTTGTTTGTTTACTGGCTTCATATTAGGATTGAGTACATTGGATACTTGCTTTTCCATTCTTATGATACTTTACTAAAAAGAATGTTCTCCAAGTCAACCCAGGTTAATACAAAACAAGGCCTATCTTTTTTACTGACTGCTTAATGTAAAATTATAACATGTGTTATGGGGTTTATAATGTATGTATATGTAAAATATAACGATAGCACAAAGAATGGGGAATGATGCATTTTAGGTTCTTACATTTATGTGAAGTAGTTAGATAAACTCTGGACAGACTCTGATCATTTAGCATGCATATTTTAATTCCTAGAGGAAATACTAAAAGTACAAAGCGCATAGCATTAGCTAAAAAGCTACTAAAGGGTTTTCCTTACCATCATCCTCTTCTTCCCCATCACTTTCCAATTCTTTCTAAATAATTCAGACCTAGCGCCAACAGGTGGAGCCAAGTAAGGTCGGTGTCTATGTCAGAGTTGGAAGAAACACAATAGCCCCGAGTGCCTAACTACGGTAAGAAGTAAGTCCACAGGGCTGGGGGAAGCAGGGTGTGGTGTACTTACGCTCCTAATACACTCCTGCAGTGGTTTCCCAGGGCCGCTGTAACAAAGTACCACAAACAAAATGGCTTAACACAACAGAAATTTATCATTTCACAGTTCTGAAAGAAAGCTACAAGTCTGAAATCAAGCTGCAGATGGGGGTGGTTCCCTCCTGGAGGCTCCAAGAGAGGAGCTGTCCCATGCCTATCTCCTAGCTCCTGATGGTTGTCACTCCTTGGAGTTTCTTGGCTTATGGAAGCACAACTCCAATTTTTGAAGTAAATATTCTTTCTCTTTCTTTTTTTTTTTTGAGACAGGGTCTTGCTCTGTCATCCTAAGTGGAGTACAGTGGTATCATCATAACTTACTGCAACTTTAAACTCCTGGGCTCAAGCAATCCTCTTGCCTCAGCCTCCTGAGTACCTGGGAATACAAGAGGGTGGCCCTATGACAGGCTAATTAAAAAAAAAAATTTGTAGAGATGGGGGTCTCAAACTTCTGGCCTCAAGTAACCCTCCCACTTCAGCTTCCCAGAGGGCTAGGATCGCAGGTGTGAGCCACCCTGCCTGACCAATAAATATTCCAAGTATAATAGGAGACATATTCTATTTGTCAGAAAAGACAATTTAAAATAAGGAAAGGAAAAAAGCTAGAATCGACTTCATTGCCCCTGCTCAGGCTAGTCTTGAACTCCTAAGCTCAAGCAACCTACCTGCCTTGGCCTCCCAGAGTGCTAGGATTATAGGCATGAGCC